CCTAGCCAGAGCAAGTTGGCAAGAAATAAATATTCATATAGTCAAATGATTTTGACAAGGGAGCCAAGAGCATTCAATGGGGAAAGGACAGTCCTTTCAACTAATGATAGTAGGAAAACTGGTTATCTACACACTAAAGAATGAAACTGATCCTTATCTTACACCATATAAAAAAATGAACTAAAAATGGATCAAAGACCTAAATATAAGAGCTAATACATAAAACTTAAACTAAAACATAAGGGAAGAGCTTCGTGACACTGGATTTGGCAATGACTTTTTGGACATGACATTAAAAGTACATGCAACAAAAGGAAAATAGGTGAGTTGGAGGTTCATCACAATTAAAAACTTCTGTGCATCAAAGGACAAAAAGGACATTAAAGGCACTCCATAGCATGGGGGGTAATATTTTTCAATCATACATAGGGTAACAAATTGCTATCTTGAATCAATACAGAGCTCCTACAACTCTTCTCCCTCCCTCCTCCCAAAAAATAAATAAATAAACCTGATTTAAAAATGTACACAAGACTTGAGTAATCATTTCTCCAAAAAAGATAAACAATGGGCAATAAGCACATGAAAAGATACTCAACATCACTAATCATTAGGGAAATGCAAATCAAAACCTCAACGAGATACCACTTTGTAGCCATTAGGATGACTATAATCAAACAGAAAATAATAAGTGAGCAATGATATGGAGTAATTGGAACTCCTATGCATTGCTGGTGGGAACTTAAAATGGAGCAGCCATGTGGAAAAACAGCATGAGGATGCCTCAAAAAAAGTTAAATATAGAATTACTATATGGTCTAGTAATTACACTTCTGGACAAATATGCTAAAGAAATGAAAACAAAAACTTGAACAAATACTTGTACACATTATTCATAGCAGCATTAGTCATAATAGCCAAAAGCTAGAAGCAACTGAAGTATCAATCCACAGATGAATAAACAAATGTGGTATATACATACAGTGGAATATCAAACTGCCTTAAAAGCAAAGAAATTCAGATACATGTTGCAACATGGATGAACCATGAAGGTATGTGAACTGAAACAAGCCAGACACAAAAAGAGTAGATGATTTCACTTATGTAAGATACTTAAAGTAACCAAATTCATAGAGACAGAAAGTGGAGTGGTGGTTACCAAGGGGCAGGAAGAAAGGTAAATGAAGGCTTATTGTTTAAGGGTACAGAGTTTCAGTTTGAAAAGATGAAAAAGTCCTACAGATGGATGGTGGTAATGGTCACACAGCAATATAAATATAGACTTTGGACCAGATGTCAACATAGAAACAAAGGTTTGGGACCACACATCCAACACTGCAACTTTAAGGCTCCTACCTGAGGGATAGGCAACCAAATCACCTAGCTTTGAAAGCCAAAAAGGCTTGGCATCATGAGCCCCACAGGACAATGGAATACAAAGAAGCAGTTTTATACACAGGAGCACCACCACAGCTATCATCTAGGACTCAGTAGAGAGGGAACAGGCAAAATCGCCCCTCTCTCAGTCTTCCTGGAAGTGGTTTTAACTTCTTACTCCACAAGCTACTGTCTGAGGATCCAACTTCTAACCAACACATACTAGCTGCTGACTGATTATGCCCGGAGCCCAAAGAGCTGGTGGGCACTTCCACTGTCCCTTTGCCTCGCTAAAATAAATACAAATTTCCAGCTTATTCATTAAAGGAGTGTGTCCACACATTTAGCACCCCAATTTTTATGGCTGCCATCTGACAAACAAGCCATCAAATACCTAGCTCTGATAGCCAATGGGTCTTGGCATTCACGAATCCCAAAAGACCGTCTTAAACAAAGAAGCAGTTTTTAACAGGTGTAGGAGCACTTGCCACAGCAATTAACCCCAGGGTTCAACACAGAGGGTACAAGCAACAATGGCTCCCAAGTTACCTTAATTCTGGGAAATGATGGGGCTTGGCATTTACAAGTACCCTGCTACCATGCAAAAAAAAAGAAAAGGAAAAAACCAAAAGCACTTCTAGTGACTATTCCCTCTGGCTCAGCATAGAGTAGCCAAAAACAGCTAGGTCTCAATTTCTCCCTGATAAGGGCTAGACTATATATATAATGTCCTGACCTTTCCAGCTGCTGCCTGAAAGTCAAGTTTCCAATTAGCATGCATCAAAGACTTGTATAAAATAAGGAAATGACACCAGTTGGTAACTCAAATCCACAGGAACGAATGAAGAGAACCAGAAATGATAAATAAAAAGGTTAATATAACATTATAAACATATAATTATTATCCTTTCTTCTCTCAGGTTCATTAATAAATACAAAATTATATAAAATGATAATTAAAACAATTTATCATTAGGTTTATAACATATAGATGTTATATAAAAATAATATGAGGAAGAAAAATAGAGCTATATAAAAGTAATGTTTCTATATCTGTATCTATTCTATATATACTGGAATTGAACTAGTATATATCTGAAGTGATTTCTGACAATTAAAAATGTACATGGCAAGTTCTAGCAACCACCAAGAAAAGAATGTGAAATAATATGGTAAAAAAATCAATAACATGAAAAAGATACAGTAGGAAACATTCACTTAATGCAAAAGAAAGCAGTTAAGAACAAAATAGACATGTAACACATAGAAAACAAAAAGTAAAATGGCAAATGTAAATCCAAATATGTCAATAATGTTAATGTGAATGAACTAAACGATTCAATCAAAAAGTGGAAATTGTCATAGATTTTAAATATTAAGTTCCTACTGTATGGTGTCTACACAAAACAAATATAGGTAGAAATACAAACAGTATGAAAGTAAAAGGATGAAAAGATATATTTAATGCAAACAGCAACTATACAAAAGCCTCAATGGCTACACCAATATCAAACAAAATAGGTTTTAAAATGAAACAAAAATAATTAATAGATAAACAGAAACATTTTATAATGATAAAATGGGCCAACAAATAAGAAATATATAACTATTAAAAACAACTATGTACCAAACAACAGAGTCTCATAATACATGAAGTAAAAAACTAACAGAATTGAAAGGGAAAACGGACAATTCAACAATAATAGTTGTAGACCTCAATACCTTATCCTCAATAATGGCTAGAACTTGTCAAAAGATCAACAAGAGAAGACCTGAACAACACCATAAGCCAACTAACAGACATCTACAGAACATTCCACTCACCAACATCAAAGTATATATTCTTCTCAAGGGCAGACACATGGAACATTCACCAGCGTTTGCCATATGTGAGATCATAAAACAACCCTCAATACCTTTAAAAGTATTAAATCATTCAAAGTATGTCCTATGACCTCAATGGAGTAAAATTAGAAACCAATTACAAAGACTTTGGGAAACTCAATAATATGTGGGAATTAAACAACATATTCTTAAATAACCAACAGGTCAAAGAACTTAAAAGGGAAATTACAAAATACTTTGAAATGAATAAAAACAGAAACAGAACATACCAAAACTAATGGAATGCAGCTATTATTGCCTATAAATACCCGTTTCAAAAAAGAAGGAAAAATTCAAATTAACACCTAACATTCTACTTTAAGACACTTGAAAAAGAAGAGCAAACTAAACCTAAAGCAAGCAGAAGGAAGAAAATGATAAAAACTAGAGTGGAAACTAATAAACCAGGAACTAGAAAAATAATGAAGAAAATTGGTTCTTTGAAACAAAAAACAAAATTGACAAATCTTAGCTAGAATGACCAAGCAAAAAAGAAGACTCAAATTAACAAAATCAGCAATGAAAGAGTTGACATTACTAGCACCCTTAGAGAAATAAAATGAATTATAAGGGAGCACTCTAAACAAATTTATGCCAACACTGAATAATCTGGACGAAATAGATAAATTCATAGAAAAAGACAGAAAGTACTGAAACTGATGCCAGATGAAACAGAAAACTTACGTAGGCCTCTAACAACTAAAGAGACTGGATTAATAATCAATAAACTACCACAAAGAATGGCCAGGCCCAGATGGCTTCACTGATATATTTTAGAAAACATTTAACACAAACCTTCTATAAAATCTTACCAAAAAATAGAAGAGGGAACACTTCCTGATTCATTCTATGAGGCCAGCATTACTACAATATCAAAACTATACAAAGACCATGCAAGAAAACTATAATATCCCTTATGAATATAGAAGTAAAAATCCTCAAAAAAAAAATACACACACACACACACACACACACTAACAAATTGAATCCAGCAATATACAAAAAGAATTACATACCTTATGAAGTGGGATTTATCCCAGAAATGCAAGGTTGACTTATCAATAATAACTCATTTAATATAATACACTACATTTTAAACACCTGTTCCATAAAAAAAGCAATTCTACATTTGGAAATGTATCTTATGCAAATAAATAGACAAATACACAAGAATGAAAACACTCATAGTATCTGTTTATAACAGCAAAAACTGGACAACATAAATATCCACTATGAAAAATTAAACAAACCAATGTTCAAAAATTCGTAGTATTTTATGATATTGGAAAACCATGCAGTCATTGTAAATAAAAATGTACCTCCTTCTCTATTAGCATGAAAAGATTTTCTGGATATACGATGAAGTGAAAAAGGCAGGTAACCAACCAGTGCTTCTATTAGTGTCAAACAGACACTAATAGATTCACTATATGTATAAACATTTATGTAAATATGTATACGCACACATATCTACAAACACATACATATGCACATATCATAGAAACAGGTCTAAAATGTTGTATACAAAAATGTTAACAGCGCCTAGTTCAGAATAATTTAATTATAGGTAATTTTCTCTCTTCTTCATACCTTTTGAGTAGTCTAAACACTTTACAAATGTATATGTACGAGTTTTATAAGAATAGTAAGAAATATTTTCATTCTTTCAACAAAGAAAAAGCAATACAATCATCTTATTAAATATCTTGTATCTTTACTATTTATCACAATTTTCTTACCTTTAAACCTTCAGCTGGAAGTCTATAACCAAATCTTGCTGGAAGGTCATCAAATGTCTGAGATGCATTTTCAAAATTATACTAAATATAAAATTAAAAACAAGTTACAACCAGTTTACACATAATACTAAAAACAAAAAGTTTATTAAATTATTTGAGTTATCATTTCCATTAATTCTGACTTACTATCACAGCTATCACAATAAAATCAACTTTGTAAATGCAAAGCCACTAAAATAGCAAGGAACATATACCATTTACTACATATACAACTGCTTAAATTGGATTCTGATTTCATACAATAATTATTAAGCAGCAGCAATAATTCTATAACATTAAACCACCTACTATTTTCTGAGTTTTTCACACAGACAATTCCCTAACAAGGAATTTTCTAGACAGATTATTTCCTAGCAAGAATTATTTCCTATATATTATAAGGGTCTGATTTAATAGATAGGCTCAAGCTATGAAAAATGCCTTTTTCCCAGAGCAAGGAAGAACATCAAATCATACTTTTAAAGCATTGTCTTTTTTTTACATAATCTAAACAATGACAAGACTAAACTCAATGAAATACATACACATAGAGAGCATATATATTATTATCTTTTAGAAGATAATAATAATGATGGTGAAGTGAGTTTGCTATATATTTAAGAATGTTCAATATGCTATATAGAAAACAAGAGAAACAAGAAAAATAGATGAAACTAAACAAAGATAATAAACAAGTGACTTTTGAAAACACAGATAAAATGTGTACAATGTGTTAGAAATTAAAATAGGTGCCATAAACTGTAGGCAATACATTTGTTTTGAATATAGATAAAAATGATGAAACAAAGCAAGTGTTACGTATAGATAGCAAAGGATGGAAGGATCAAACAAACCTTAAATATTAACAAAGCATGGATTAGGTCACACATCTGAGTTGATGGCTGTCATCCCTAAATCAAACACCTATTGGTGATCCCCACTCTAGCCTCATGAGTCATCTTGCAGGTAAATAGTTCTGCAGGTTAACAGCAAGTTATAGCTGTGTTCAGATGTAAATACCTTGCTTGTCTCCAATAGAGCAAACAAATGCTAGATCGAGACACCTTCCATCTATGAAGTCCTCTTGCTCACCCTCAACTCAGGTCCTGGTAACCACACTCTCACCAAGGAAAGCTGATGCAGCATAGAGATAGACTGAGCAGACTAATAACGGTAATACAGGGTTCGAGTAGTGTGGTACCTGCATTCTACTCGCACCCTATCCTAAGTGTCTTAAAGTTATCCGTCTTTTACCTATGCTTCACACTGTATGTTTATAATTAGTGCAATAAATGATGTGATTCAAGCATCTGAATTTGATCACTGAATCTATCCATTCTGTTAACTCTGGAATAATCAGCTGGAGGCCAGCACTGCTTCTGGGTAATTTCCTACTGTAATACCAATTCATATCTGCAAAGTGCTCTATGATTACAAAGTACTTTAGAATCACAAAGTGCTTTATCATTACCACATAATGTGGTAATGGTATCACTTGTATCATTTAATTAAAACATCTTTCTTTAATTGATTTAGTTCAATTATGATTAATTTGTGCTGAACATGAGTCATTCAACTCTTCTAAGGCCAAAGACACTACTGTAAAATATAGAAACGGATCTAGATCAACACAGACCAAAGAAAAACACAAATGTGTTCAGGCAGCATTTATTTTTAAAGGTACTTTTAAAATCAGGAAATGAAATATCTACAACTATACTAAATATTCTTGTATCATTTCCTGTACTGAGAAGTTTCGCTTTTTTGGGTTGAAGTTCAGAAATAAAACATCTAGCTTGAACTACAGTACTTGTAATACTAGGGCTTGGAATCAGCTCTACTATTGAGTGAGATCCATTTTGAAATTACTTTGTCTTTCCTTAACAGCAAAATGAGAATTGTTTCACACTGCCTCTTATAACCACATTGCTTAAAAACAAACAAAATAAGGTTCCTATCATGAATAAGAGAAATGGAAACATCTTTGGCACAAAGGTGCTTACTTTTTCAGTATTATGCTGCTACTCATAAAATTAAAGCATGCTCACTGTTAAAATTTTTGAAATAGAAAATGAAGTCACTCCTCTCTGGAATCCCATCCTCAGTGATTACCACATATAACAGTTTTAATCTACTTTTGAAAAAGTCTTTTCCTTAACCAATTCTCCTCTTTGACAGCAGCCTTAACAGAAGGTTTAATTTAAATTAAAAAGTTACAGTTATTGAGCATTTAAGGCATCATGCTAAACACTTGACAGGTATTCACTTTTTTAATCCTTACAACAGCCCTATAAAGTCAGCCACTATTATCACTATCCCCATTTTAGAGATAGATGTTGAAACTAACTTGCTCTAGTCAATTAGAAGAACTAGAAGTCCAATCCAGACAGTCTGGCTCTTAACCCATTGCCCACGCTCTCTCTCATATAGTTTCATTTTCATAAGAAAGTGAGACTTAAGAGATGTTAACTAATTTGTCGAAGGTCATGCAACTACAGAGTGGTAGAACTGGAATTCAATTCAGATTGTAACTCCACTGTTTAAAGCTCTTAATTACCATGCTATATAATCCAATCCATTCACATCTACTGCGTGCTTCTCTCCTACTCTGCCCACTAATCTTCTCTGAAACTACAAAAAATGGCTACTACCTCAGAATAAGATCACAGCACAGCTCAAAGCCTCCAAATATTCAACTGATCTGTTCATCTCTAAAGTGTAATGCCCCTGCCAATTCTAAAGCTTCGGTTTTCTAGGTATAAACCTACATAATTAATAATTTCACATTTCCTTTTGGGTCAAAGAAAAGAGAAATGATAAGAGATAAAAAGAGAATGAATTGATAACAGAAACAACAATAATCTAAAGTATCAAGGAATAAATGCTATTAAAAGAAAACATGAGAAAGAATGAAATCTCCAGTGAAAACCTATTAATCAGTTCAAATATTTATTGATCTCCTACTGTGTAATTCTCACTAGGCATCAGAAACATAATATTTAGTAAGACACAGTCCTGCCTTACTCGTGACCTAGGAGGCTTACTGATTAGTTAGCAATACAATACAGAAGGATCTCCAATAGCCTCTTAGACCTCACCAACTAGTTGGACAAATATTGTTGTCAGAATTGACAGTTAAATAGGAGAATTCGACTGCCAAAAATAAAATCATCTGGCATACAAATTGCATGACTAAAACTGACTTTATCTTTTCAACATCCTAATACCTGTCCAAAATCGAACCAGAATCAATCTTATAGCAATTTATTAAAATTTGTATTACTGCAAACCCAGATTTTATTTTTATTTTATTTATTTATCTTTTTCTTTTTTTACGCCTACAGTCCCCTGGTCTTCCTAGGTGGTTTCCTATTCAAGTACTAACCTGGCCCGACCCTGCTTAGCTTCCGAGATCAGACGGGATTGGGCATGTTCAGGGTAGCATGGCCATAGGAAACCCAGATTTTAGGGTTGCTCTTATTCAATTAAAAGGAAGAGGTAATATTTTCTACCTCTTGACTCATTTCCTTTGACTGACTGTGTTATCACGTCCAGTTCCTCAGCCTCAATATTAAGTTCTCCTTTTTACCAGTTACATGCCTTTACAACCCACTCCCTTCCAGCTATCTCTGCATTCATATCAGCCTTCTATTATTAGTGTCAGCACCAAGACCAGATTTAAGCAGCTCCCTTGCTGATAGTTCTTTCACTAGATAACACCAACATACATTCTACACTTACCTGTCTGAAGCACAGGCAACGATGATGGCAACGATTGACTGTTCTCTACTTAATACTGTATTTTGTCTCTATTAAAAAATACACCTTGAGCAGTCTCATATACTGCTGGAGTGAGTGAAGGATGAGAATGATAATTTTAATGAAGAAATCAAAGGACAAAAGGTAGACAAGGAGAACTTCACTCCCTGATCAGTCCAGAAATCAATGACCTCACTTCAAAAGTCATCCCAAGAATATTCCAAGGACTTCAGGGACCAATTTAGAGGAGATAGTTGAATAGCAATGGACTCAGTTCTACTTCCATTCTAACTCAAAAGATCCCAACTATTCTAGGAGAATCTAATCAACCAGTTCCCTACTAAAGAGCAGAACAGAAGGTGGGAGGAGAATCTAATCAACCAGTTCCCTACTAAAGAGCAGAACAGAAGGTAGGAAGTCTCCGAGGGATTAGAGTTGCTATGCCTTCAAAAGCTAAGGTATAGAAACCACTTGGTTCTCTCAAGTTCTACAATGATCCTAGACCCTTTCACACATGCTACAGTATGAAGAAACACAGATGAAGATCACATCAAGCTTTGGTCAGCAACAATTCTGGCCCTTCTACTTCTCACCTCATGTCATTAAGCAAATCACTTGTATCCATAGAGTAAAAACAATAAATCCTTAGCATAGTACTGAGAGTACAGATGTGCATGGGTACACACATGCACATACCCCACAGAGTTAATTCTTGTTTTCCTAGCGTCACAGTAATGAGAAATAGAGAACATGTACACTTCCTAGATTAGAGGACAGTAAAACAGTAGCCTAGAAAGGACACCTAAGGTTTTGAGGAGCAATCTTCTCTAAAATCTTTTCTATCCACTATCAAAGATAAGACCATTGTGCTTCTCGTGACTGATAAATACTACTCTTAGGTTTAAATTTTCTGTGGACATCCTGTACAATTTTAAAAATATCATTATCCAAGTCATAATGAAATATTAACTAGCAAGAAAAACAGTAAGATTCTACATAAATACACAGCACAGACATACGTGTGCCTGAGCACTCTTGAAAGTGCACACACACTCTCAAAAGCAACAACATGTATCATGTACTTCTTGTACATTAGATCTTAAGCAATCAGATCTTAATATTGTATATTAGATATTAAGCAATAAAAAGATGAGTAAGGTCCTCCACTTTCAAGTAACAGCTATGTGTATGTACCTCTACGTTTGTAGGTAAACACCTTATAAGATTCCATCATTTAGGACTTTTTTAAAGCTTTTCTTTAAGAGATGTTTTTAGAAAGGAGTAAAATTTACTGTACTTACTGCTAAAATATCCGCTTCTACAGGCAATAGATTTAAGAATGCAAAGAGCTGGACAGTCAAGATGGTATAGACTTGTGTGGCGGACAGCATGAGCATCCCTATGGAGAGCAGCATCTCGCTGTAAAATCACCTAGAAGATAAGCAGGTAAGTAACAATGAACTCTGTCATTTGATGTATTAATTCCCAAAGTTTAAATATATCTCCTTTAATTATAGACATGTGCTGACATTAAAATTAAAGATATTTCAAAAGCATAATAATTTACACAGATTTGCACACTTAGGTAAACAGCCAAGGTTAGTCAATACCTATATCACTCATAGTGACTACGTTCTTGTGTTTTAAACACAAAACAAATATCTTCCCACAGTTTCAGTTTACAGTATAGGTTGTCCACTAATTCAATTACGGGGGAAACTAGATTTCAATCAAAATAATGATTTAAAAATTCACAAGCACCTTTGCTTTAAATTTTTTTTAAATTTTAAAGAATTTTTATAATTTTTTAAATATAATTTATAAAATCACTTGTAAATTTACTGATTTTCATATGTTATTCCCAAATCAAAGAATGTAAAAAAAAAAACAGCCACTTATTTTTAAATAATACTTTTTGCCCTTTCCTTAATATGTATTTTTTTCCCTTATCTGTATCCTAATAGCAATAGAGCAACTACCTCTAACCTCATCCAGTTCTCTACATGAATCCCTATATATCATATTACAGCAAGAAGATACTATGAAAGGACTAAATTTTAACCAAGAAAGTGTCAAAATTTTCACTGGCAAGCCTCAACCAATTGTATAACATACTTTTTAAAAGCTGAGAACAAAGTTAGGAAAGACAAGAACCTTTATAAAGAATTATTTTATTAAATGCCACCAACTCATACCAATTTTGATTATGATTACTGCTGGTAAGGCTCTGGGTTTGGAGACTACATAGAGACTCAAAGCCTAACTCTCTGACACACAACTGAAAGAAAAATATCTCTGAATAATTTTTTAGCTGCCATCTTACAAATCCATTAATATCAGAAATGAAATAAAGGTGAAAAAAAGTTAAATGTACACATTTGTTCCATAGAGACAAAAAGTAGGTTAGTGGTTGCCTGGAGCTGGGGGTAAGAATTAAGGGAGGGGAAAGGAATGACTGCTCAGAAGTATGGGTTTTTTTTTTCAGGGTGATAAAAATGTTCTAAAATCAGATTGTGGCGATGGTCGCAAAGCTCTATAAATATACTAAAAACCACTGCATTGTGCACTTTAAATGGATAAATTTCATGACGTGTGAATTATATCTCTATAAAGCTGTTTTTAAGAGGTACTGATTTTGTTGATACTGGTTTCTTAGGTGAAATCCATTTTATAATATACCTCTGAACAGAAAAGTTAATAATAGCAGGCCTAAGCTCTTCCTTTCCAACGTGGGCCTAGCAGAATGGCTCCTGCAAAGAAGAGTATCACAAGGAAGGGCCATTCTGCCATCAACGAGGTAGTGACCACAGAATACACCATCAACATTTACAAGTACATCCATGAAGTGCATTTCAAGAATTGTTCCCCTTGGGCACTCAAAGAGATCCAGACATTTGCCATGAAGGAGATGGGAACTTCATATGTGTACATAGACGGCAGACTCCACAAAGGTGTCGGGGCCAAAGGAATAAGAAATGTTCCATACCATAGCTGGGTGCGGCTGTCCAGAAAACATAATGAGGATGAAGATTCACCAAACAAGCTCTATACACTGGTTATCTATGTACCTGTCACCACTTTCAAAAATCTACAAACAGTATGAATGAAAACTGCTGATTGTAGAATAAAGTTATAAAACTGCAAAAACAAAACAAAACCAAAAAACACATAGCAGTCCTAATATTGCTATCCTTAGAAAGGCTTCCTTGCAAGGTTGGCCCTTTTGCTGGCATCTGGGAACTTAGATTTCAGAAGGGTTCTCATTATTCCCTGATAAGAACAGCTCATTGTACCTAAACTGCAAACAATGAGGTTTATGTTTAACACGTTTTCTTTCTAAGAGTCGAAAATTTTAGTACATGCTAGGCAGAGAATGCCTACATGAACAGCCCCCAATGTAATCCATACGCACTGAATTTCTATTAAGCTTCCCTCGTAGACACTTCTCATTTGTTGTTATAACTCACTACTGAGAAATTAAGCATAACCTGTGTAACTCCACTTTGAAAGGACTCTTAATTAAAAGTTCACACCTTGTTTCCTCTGGCCTTCACCCCATATGCCTTTTTCTCTTCTGATTTTGCTTTGCATCCTTTCACTGTAATAAATCATATTCATGAGTATAACCATATTCTGAGTCCTATAAGTCCTCACTGAACCTGAGGGTGGTCTTGGAGAACCCCAACACAACCACATTAGATAAGTTTTGGCCAAAATCAGACCATAAAAACATACAAATCCTTGTAAAATAAAGTTTGCTAGGAAGAATATTCAGTACATTGACCACTGACCTGTTTGACAAACTTAATCTGAATAAGAACTATGACTTCCCTTGTGATGTTCTGGAATTGCCAGCCAACTTTGGGAATGGGGAGGGAGAGTTTAGAGAGAAAATACCTCTAAGAATAGGAATAATAATAACCACAACTGTTAATGATCACTTACTAAATAACAGGCATTGCTCTAAGCACGTTATTGAGTTAAACTCATCTAATCCTAACAACTTCCTATAAGGTAAGATGTCATTTCACAGATGGGGAAAACAGGCACTGTTAAGCAACTTGCCCAAGGTCAAACAATGAATAACAGTAGAACCAGGATTCAAACCCAGGCCGTCTGCCTCCAAAGTCCACACTCTAAAGCCCAAATGAAAATAGCAGTGATAAACAGAAGTCTCTACCCAAAGCATAAAGAGATTTAAGAATCATCGCAAATGATAACTAAAGTGATCTTAACGTAAAAAATGAAAAATGAGAAGAGAGCTAGAGAAAACTCTGAAGAATATCTAAATTTAAGGGCAGAGGGAGAAAGTAAAGAAAAGAAAAAGAGACTGACTTCACAAAAGAAAAAGAGACAGACTTCACAAAAGACAAGAAATTTGAGAGGAATGTAGGGAGAAGAAAGGCAGTTGGTCAACAGAAGGAAATATTGGGAAAGAGGCAAATTTTTTCACATTCAGAGTCTATCCAGCCTGAACAATTGTATTTCCCTATTATCTAACAGGTATCCTTGCTCTGATCAACTCACTATTTCAGGAATGCAGCCTGCTATGACCACTTGGGCATCTTCACTCACGTGTTATCCAAAAACTAAAATACATTCTCCTCTACTTTCAAAGGTAAATTTAGGGGAAAACTAGGAATCCTATGAAATTACATGCAAAATTTTATGTATGTATAAATATATGCAGTTTCTATGAAAGAGGTCTATGTTTGTTAACACATTCTCAAAAAAAGCACAAAAGGTTGTTTTGTTACATCTTCTCTTCTTCAAGTCTTTGAAGAGAAAGATTAACAAGCTTAGAAACTGATACTTTTTTCTAGCACTTAGATTACTGGGTAAAAATATAAATTGTCGATTGTATTTATTACTAGGCAACAACAGTTATTATAAAAATGACTTCGTAATTGGTGGAAAGCATTAAAACTGGAAAGACTGTAAGTTAACTATAAAAGCTTCTTACAAAAACAAAAATAGCCTCTGCTTCCCTGTGAGGTGTGTTTCATGAAACCAAGCATGATCCTTGAGGGAACCTGAGAGCTACTCAGGGACTATTACAAGAAGTGGTTCCTTTCATACAGATCCTTTCCTATGCTGATGTGATACACATCCACACATTTGATCCTGTCACAATCCAATATTTTTCCTGTTGGGTATAAAAGCTGCACCTAGATGAATGCAAGCTTTTCAATGAAGATATATCTTATGTTGATATGCCGTGCTCCGAGTCTGCATCATCCTACCAAGCTAGTGAACCCAGTGCCAGATTATGACCAGTTACTGAGACTGAATGTCAACCAGAACTGCTAACTACTGATGGTCATGCAGTGAGTGTTGTACCTTTCGTCCCCATTACAATTCTCATCAGCCTCTCATTTTTGAATTTATTCAACTGTTGCTGTCTCTGTAATAGAATACAATAAATTATTGTTTGTTGTGACTCTCATTACCCCAAATAGAACACATTCATCTTGACATTTCTTTACGACTATGTTGGGAAAGGGAGAACACACAGAAAAACCTAATAAAATCTTGCTAATTACAAATATCTACCTCTTTCTTTTCCTCTTCTCTCCCCTTTCTCTGTAATTACCAAAGATAGAACATGACTCTCTGTTCTGAGTATGCCTAAAATCAGAAGACAGTTACATTTCTTCAAAGGAAGTATACAGTAAAGAATATGCAAGAAATCCTTGAGAACGACCAAGCAAGTTTCTAGAGATGTCTCCATTACCATCATCTCCAATCATATCTAACTTTGTCTATTATTTAACAGAATTTGACTAATTTTTAATAGACATTTTATTTGAAATTAGCTTCTTGACTCTAACCAACTAGATTTTTCAACTGGCAAATTTTCATTCTACTTTTTTTTTTTTTTTTTAAGGTGAGGCAACCCTTGGTTGATCTCACAGATTGCAAGGACCTTGTCAGCTTACAATCCTTTATTTTTTATTTTTTAATGCCTACAGCATCTGGTCTTCCTAGGTGGTCTCCTATCCAAGTACTAACCAGACCTGACTCTGTTTAGCTTCCGAGATCAGACAGGATCAGGCTTGTTCAGGGTAGCATGGCCGTAGACTCATTCTACTTTCTGTTCAGTCTACATCATCTGAGATGTATTCTTGCCAAAATTGTTTTAAACTGATTCTAATAAAGCTTTAGCTCTAACTTCAAATTTACAAGAAATACATGGAATAGAAAAAAATAAGCTATAAGACAAGGTGTGACTTGAGGACACTGAACCAATTTCTATAAAATTAAATGGAATAAACAAAACAGTATAGGGAGATGGTATGAAAGAAATACATGAGACTGTTATATATTCAGAGATAAGAGGGAGGGAGAAGGGGGAGAGGGAGATGGGGTAAAAGGGGTTAAATTTGTGGTGATAGAAAGAAATCCAACTATGAGAGGTGAACACACAGTAT